ACAAAGAGTGGAGGGAACCCCCCCTCCTCCCCCCCCCCCCACAAAAACAAGAAAGCTCGTTTTCCTACTTCAAGCTGTGAATAAAAACTAGGTATGGGAAGCTCTAAATAACATGCTCTAAATCTTGTTGTATCCTTCAGGAGCAAATCCATTAAACAAACAAACTAGATACTTCCTTTAATAAAACTATTTTAAATACAAAATGTTTCAGTGTGAAAAAGGTTATGTATCCAATACATCTAATGTAGCTTTGCTTAAACTGAATTTGAATTTCTGCCCAAAATCAGTTTAAACTCAAACCACCAATAAAATGGCCATCATTCATCAATTCTTCATATAATATATAAATTTAAAATTTCAGTAAGTGGATGCTAGGCTAGACAGTTGTTTGAATGTTTATATCATGTATCCTCCTGTGTACTGGGTAACTGATTATGTACGTTCTGGGTTTTTGCTTGCTGATCACTCTGTGTTTATATTGGTTTTGTTGTTGTCTGGTTAAAGAAAAAACATGAAGAGGCACCTAGAAATAAACAGGAAACAATATGAGGTACCTTTCTCCATCAAAGTGTAAATAAGTGCTATGGGTAGAAAGATGGCAAAAAATTAATGAAGATTAACTTGCTTCTAGAAGAGGTCAGGAGTCCACTTGATGTTGCTAAATTCAGTACGTCTAAACTAACAAATAATGGAGAAATGTAGCATACAATCACAGCCTGTCACAGAAAGCACAACAGCATTGTACAACAAACAGAACTCCTATTTTTTATTACCAGTAGGGAAGGTTTTAGAAGTTGCTAAACATGTTCAAGGAAGAAAGCGACAGTCTTTTTAAATTACTCTGGTCTTAAAGTTCAGTTTTGGAGAAAATATCTTTTACAATGCCTAAAACATTCTGTTTTCTGATTCCAAAGGGAAGTGTATTTCCTTCTCTTACAGTGTTTGCAACCTATTTGCTGCAGCACTGACTTGTATACAAAAACTAGTACATTAAATGAATTAGAAACTATAAACAAAATTGAAAAGGTCCTTTTAAGTTCAATACTCGCTTTGTAACACTGATGAAGTAACAACAAAACTTTAATTCTAAAAAAACACTGTTTAGCTCCATGACTTTTATGGCGAGAATACAAATTCCAATACTTACGTTTTGATGTTTTCATGGTACACCTTTGTGTCTGACGGCTGGTTGTAAAGTGGCTACAAAGCAAATTGGTAAACACATTAAAAACATTGGACTTGTTTCCACTCTAGTGAGTACAGAAGAACAAGATTATAAAAGGGAATTTTTTTTAAAAATTATAAAGCGCTGCCTACTTTATATTTTCTGGTGCATTGCAACTCTATTGTCCCCCAGGCATGCACCCATCAGCTGTGGTTTGAGATGTCCAGAAGTGGACAGGCATAGGGCCAGATACACAAAAAGCCAGAGGCAGGACAGACTTACTAGTTCAACTTTTGGACCAAGACCTTCAAAAATCTTGTGAGCTTCTTCTGCTTTTTTCTGTAAGAGATCAGTTTGTACAGTCTAAATAAATGGTAAAGCAGTTGCAAACATTAAAAATACAAACTGGCAAAAAATGCACAAGATCTTCCCCTGAACTCATCTGCAAAATTTCTATCCTTTCCATATTTAAGTCTGTCAGCCTACTTCTGCCATCCTGTCTGTAGTGAGTCTGGCAAACTCATGCATACACTGTACATGGCTACACAATCTACTTGGTAACTCTACATTGCAAGCCCCTCTGAGTAGGAACCCTCCTCTTCTAAATGTAAAAAATAAGCTATCACGCTGGAGGAAATCCTACACATACTTACCCAAAGAGGAGAAAAGTCCTCCATAGCAGAGAAGCATAATTTAGAAAGGCTAGCTTAAGACAACATTAACTCATACACCAAAGGAAAGAAAGGCAGATGCAAAACAGACTTTGTCCTACCAGTGCTTACTACGGAACAGCCACTACAAAACGTTCACTTATAATATTACATGAAGCTATAAAAACAGTCCTGTTCCTAAGGAAACAGAGCTGAATTAGACTCTGCTATCTCTATCCATCCTTCCAAAGACTTGCTTTGGTAGACAGGCTAAGACTATCCAATACATTAATTTTAAGCCACGTCCTCCCTATAGGTACGTCTACATGAGGTCCCAAGGGGCAAACATGCCAGCAAGCGCACACACAAAGCAAGAAGAAAGTGATTATTTTTAGAAAGAATGTTCTGCTAAACTTTACTACTTTTCTACATGTTACTCTAAACCTAGAAAACTGACAAACATTTTGGAATCCACAGCTGTGGAAAGTAATTATATATCAGGCAAATGTTATAGTATTACCCTGGTAAAAATGGTTTGCGTGGTTTGAAAACACATTTTGGGACTGAACTTTGCCCCTGTTATTTCAGCTAAATCTTATCAAACTGGAGTTGAGCTTTAAAAAAAAAAAAACCCCAAGATTTGTTTCAACATAGCTTTCAATTTCTAACCAAGTTAGTGAAAGAAAACTACTTTCTTGCACAACTGCAGAAAAAGTGATACCCAAACAAAGATTATGTACACAGTCACAACATTGGTTTAGCAAGTGTTGTAGAAATAAATTCACAGTATCTGTACTCTGGAGAACACAACTATTTGTATCGGGCATCAATATTCTTAGCTTTGCAGAAGCCATAAAATAAACACAGTCCCTGCCTTGCAAAGTTGACCAAGTCTCAGCAATTTTAAACCAATCACAATCAAACTCTTTTTCAGAAAACAAAGAGCATAAATGTGAAACAAGATTAAAACTGATTATTTAAGTCATGGTTTCTTGCTTGCTGATCACTCTGTGTTTATATTGGTTTTTGTTTTTTTAAACAAAACAGGAAGAGGTACCTAGAAATAAGCAGGAAGCAATAAGAGGTACCTTTCTGCAAAGTGTAAATCAGTGCTATTCGTAGAAAAAATTAATGAAGATTAACTTTCTTCTAGAAGTCAGAAGTCCACTTGACATTGTTAAATTTATTATGTCCTAACTAACAAATAATGGAGAAACATAAAATTGAGCAAATCTCAGTAATTTTAAACCTAGTTCAGTAATGCTTCATTTTTGGCATCTTCCCCGTGGGAGACCGCTTTGTAACCCGAGGAGCAAGTCAGGCAAAAGAAGACGCAGCAAAGGTGATTAACTAACTGCTCGATCATGATGTTACGCCCTCAACCATACGGCAAAAAGGCTTTCCCTGTCTGTTGACTGACACAGAAGGCAGAGCGGTCCAAAGCAACCTCAGCATGTGGTCATCAGTGGCCAAAATGAATCTATTTAAAAATCTCTGGCTGATAACCAGAACAGCCAATTAAGTTATTCACTACATGTATTCAGAGTCATTAAGTTTTGTGCGTGCTGCTTCATGGGACTTGGTGCATTGAGGAAATGTCAAGCACTATTGACCACATTAATTATTTACCCAAATAACTACCCCAAGCAAGAAGAAACCTTCAGGCACCCCCCTCCCCACAATCAATTAACCACAGAACTACGGTAGGGTGAAAATGGACTCTGAGATGTCCAGGAAGTTTGGGGCCCAGGGAACCACAGCTGGTACAAAAAGGGCATTTCTCAACTCCTGTACCTTATTAGCCACTTACACAACACAAGTATCTCTTGAAGTTGGCCCCAATATTTCATTCTTACATTCATCTACTCTCCCAAACCATGACGTGTCAGAACTCAGATTTTATATAAAAAGCATAAAGACCACACGACACACCCAGATTTACTCACCTACAAATTTAAATGAGAAACTGTCAGTCAGCCCTGCCAGGATTTGTGATTAGAGGGAATTCAGATCAAATTCCCTGAGGCACTAAAACCATATCAAAGCACAAATCTGGTGAAGAGGGGGAGGAGTCAAAGACTCATTTTCATACACTATTTTCTAGACACCTTCTGGGTTTAAAATATTTGGAGATGAGGAAAGAAAATATCAGGCAAGCAGTAACTTCCTTTTTAATGACAAAGTACTTTGACTGAAAAAAATTATCAAAATGCCCAATGTTAGAAGTGAAAAGGCTGCACATATTTACAAAGCTGAACTGTGATGTAATGAATTTTGGCACAACGGATAAGATGCATAATCATGCTCAGTCAACCAACCTAAAAAAAATTAATACACCGAATAAAAAGCTTACCCGATTTTCATCGTAAATAATTTGGACAATACTGCGGTGTTTCTGTTCCACTGGAGGAGGGGAGACAGGCCTCTCTGGCTCTGGAGGCTTAGCAGCTTCTTCTTCAAGTTGTTGCTAAGAGACGAGAGAAAGAAAATCAGCCATCCGCACCATGTTACCCTAACCAGTAATTAGTCACCAGAGATAAAATATGCATGTGATCAACAGTTTGCTGTGCTTGTCATTTCACTATTTAACTTGCAAGGTATGACAGAACAGGGTTTAATGCCAATGGGAGACTTTTAAAACTGCGTGCACACTAATATTAGTGAAGTCACTCTTTCTAAGTCTGAACTGTCAAACAACCAACTCAGATTCAAATGACTGATATTTAAACTTTCAACCAAAAATACTTAAGTTACACAAAATTTTGCAAACTTTCTTGCAGCACAACAATCCCCAAATATGGTAAATCCAAGAATATGCTAGAATAAATTATTTTCAATTCTGGTTGCCAACGTCTTTGCTATCCTACGAGTTACTGTCATCCTAAAATTCCACAGAAATATACCCATTCTAAAATGACACTTCATGGCAAAAATAAAACACAGAGAGAATCAACCGGCCAGATAATTGGTGCTTTTATTTTTCACAGCAACTACACTTGTGTGTTCCTTTCATCCCAAAGTATTTCTGTGTACTCAAACCAATGGCAACTTCATCTTTATGCTTTAACAGCCTTCCCTTGTACAAGCCAGAAATTCACAATAAAAGAATAAAATACATTCCAAGGTATGACGTATCATGTTGTAGGATTACATGAAAAAAATCAGCTTTTAAAACTTCACAAAATACCACATGAAGCATGTTCACGTACCAAGTTGGATTGAGTCTAAAGTTTAAGCTTATTGAAATTCAGAGGTCACACAGGCACTTTTTCAGCAAGGAGTTTGCTAATAGTCTTATTATCTGAATATTCACAAAAAGCTGTGACACCACAGTAGTCATTCATTTTGTACACAAGAAAGGGAGAAAGTGGCCAAAAAGTAAGTGCACCTACATCAGTACCATGTCAAGATGGCCAGTGACATGCTCTTTTGTTGATCTAATTCAGGTTGTTTTCCAGCTCATTAAAGTGCAAGGCTGATTAATTCTTGCAGGACCATGACACAAAATTGGATTTGAAAACTTACTCACTCACTCTGTTGCTATCGGTCAAGACAACTTTACAGCAAAGTGATTAATGGAAAGCTGACTTCGATAAACTATACTACAATACTGGGGGGTGGGGAAGTAACATAGTGGTAACAGGAGCTGGAGATTCAAATCCTACTGAAATTCTTCCATTTCAGTAATTTATTCTTAACATTTCAGGATAATTTTTACCAGGACTTTGTAAAGAGGGTAGCATTTATGAACCGGAATATTATACTCAATCCATTCAGAGGTTTTAACAGACCATAAGTTTAGCCCATACATTTTAAAAAAAGTGTTTGGTTCATTTACTTTGTATCTTATTTTAATGTTGCCCTTTGCCAACAAAGAAAGAAACAGTAATTGTAATTGGTATTCAGGTGCTTGCTTACTTGCTTCTTCTTCAGTTTAAGGATCTGCTGTTCCACCTTTGCAATTTCTCGATCTACACGATCCATGCTCTGTATAAGCTCTTCCTTCGACAGTTTTGAAGGTGAAGCATTCTGGTCCTCTCCACATGGCTGACCAGGAATGGGAGAGGATGGCCCTTCATGCTTGCCTCCAAAAGCTGGTTCCTAAAATAAAATAATTGATAAAAAGTCAGCTGCATGGACTTATCTTCACATGTGGTAGTATACAGCTAAAGTATTGGTAGTTCTCAAACTGTAACTTAACCAGATCTTTCAACTGTATGTAGTACTGCCTTGTACATCACTAACACTGTGATAGATCTAAACAAATGCCTACAGTTCTGACAATATTCCATTCTGGGTATTTTTCATAGTAGCTAGGGTCAGGAGGGACCTGAACAGATCATCTAGCCTGCCCCCCTGCCACAGGCAGGAATGAATGCTGTGTTCACAAGACCCCAGACAGGTGATCATCCAACCTCCTCTTGAATTTGCCCAAGGTAGTGGCGAGGACCACTTCCCTGGGAAGTTGGTTCCAGATTTTGGCCACCTTAACTGTAAAATATTGCCTTCTGATCTCTAACCTAAACCTATTCTCCATCAGCTTATTACCATTGTTCCTTGTCACCCCAGATGGTGCTGGGGAGAAAAGAGCTCTACCTATTTGCTGTTGATCTCCCCTGATGAGTCTGTAATTTTTACTTGATGGTCAGCTAGCAAATGAGAAACTGAAAACGTATACCCAAATTATTAAACAGTAATAGTTGCCTTGAATTTCACTCAACCCTGAATTAATGGGAAAAGATCAGGAAGTTACCCTGTTAAAATACATCCTAAAAATGCAGCCACTGTTTACATTCCAGCAACACTATGTTAGGGCCTATCTTCAATTTTGCATGCATTGAACATTTGAGTAAACCTTTGAAGTGAAATATGATGAAAACCTGAATGTAGCCATGACTAATTTGGAAAATGCATCCCTCATTCAAGCCAGTCTCAATTAAACAAATTACGTGCTTTAGTTCGATTTTCCTTCAAGGTACTTTTAAATTGTGTACAACTGAGAAGGTGCATGTCAGTATAATACTTAGATAAAAGAAATTCACATTTAAGTGAAAACATTACACTGCATGCATCTGCTTGATTCTTCCAATCCCACTTTGATCTTATCTTTACAATGCAGCAGAGCAAGTTATTAAGAAATCACATACTGACATGATTTCCTAACTTTACTTCACACATATAAGCTGTACAAAGATTGTGAAAAGCAGAATAAATAAGGCAATATAAAAATGTACTGATTTTAGAAATCTGGTGCCTTTTACCTGTTGAAACAATACATACAGAGGCACCACAAATAAAGCCTTGGTTTTTTTTAAATGATAAGCACCTGGCACATTCCATTAAACAAACTGGGAACTCAGCTCATTCAGAAATCATGTGCAAACATGCATTTTGAAGGTTTGTAAAGAAAAATTTAAAGAAACTGCTTGAAAGCTTGGAGTGTAATTCTGGTATGTACAAAATTCTCTGCAGTCCCATTTAAATGAGTGGAAATAAGGGTACTCAGCAACTTCCAGGTGAGGTTTGAGTGGCTTTCTCTGTCAAGACCCAGTGGTAGAAAATAGTAAAGAATCTAGACCATAGTTCTTGAAAACTTAAAAGACTGGTTTAAGTTACATGTTCTACAACTCTACACTAGAAACAGTGAACCTGCAAGCATATTATGTAACTGAACAAAATGCCTTTTTCCTCATCTTCAAAACACATGACTAGCAATAATTCTACCCTTAACTTGCAAGCTGTGTGTGTTAAAACAACCAGGTACCACATACTGAACAGTCAATATGCCAAATGTTGATTGCAAACTGTTCACCTTCTTGACAACTCAATTTGAATACTATTTTATTCACCACAGTAATCTGTGAAATAAAAACGGCCATCCAACTGAATTTTAAGCCGTTAGACCATGCCTTCAGTATGACAATAAAAATCATCTTACCTTCTTAATATCTGAAGAGCGCAATCCCTCCTGCAGAGGATGTACTAAAGGTAGGACAGCAGCAGTACTGACACGCTGAAAATGGGAATCAGAAACTTGTTCAAGACGTGGACGCTTAGTGTCCAAAGAATCATGATCTGTCTGTGATGGACCTGGATGAAACTGCTGCTCATATCCAGTTCTCCTTTCTTGAGGCCTAAAATATGGAAGATTTTTTAAATGCACTTACTATCCAAGAGAACCCTATCTGGTGCTCAGTTTAATTCATCACCCTTTACTAAATCACTTAATATTTCAAAGCTTAAATGGCGAGGAGACAAAAGTTTTAGATGTGTAATTCTAGACCATAAGATTTTATTTTATAAAATAAAATATACCTATACCCCTGAGAGCGTAAGATTTTTATTTAGAAAACTATCTATAACCAAGTTCATTTCAACCTACAAAAGGACAATTTAAAATAGATTCCCATCACACTAAAGTAGTAACAGAATTTTATGCCACTGCTAGAAGTGTGTTTAAAAGAAAGGTTTGGTGCAAAGCAGAACAAAATTCAGATTGGTTAGTTTAATCTTGCATTGCATAAGAACGATGGAAAGGCACAGCACTTCAATTAGTCCATTTTTACCTGTTGAAAAAGTTTCAGATATAGATGAAAGCAAACAAAGATTACTTGGCAACTTGCTTCAACACTCCCTCTCTAATTCAGTTGTGACAAACACTCTAGCATTTCTGCTATGGAGTTGAAAGTTATTTGGAGATGACTCCTGTTCATTTTCTGAAGTAAAAGAGTAGCTTCATTAGATGCTTTGCACCAGTTCTCAAAAAAGGTGTCTCTCATGCTTTATCACCTATTCAGGGTATTTTACAGAAGAGATGTCAGTTCCTGTACTTTGCCAAGACTAGCAAATGAGCTTTGCACAATTTCAGATCAGCGTTTGTACTTCTGTTACCTGATATAGGGTTTTCAAAAGGCCTTACAGCCACTCTTTTTTGGGGTAACATTAACTGAATCCAACTGACATCTTCAGGAAGATGAAAAACGAAGACAACAGGTTAATCCTTTACCCACAATTATGCACTTATTTCTGGGAATACTCTAACTAGCAGCCAGAGCCAGAGAAATATTTACATAGTATTTATCACCAGAATAATGATGAGCGGTGGCTCCCTCACTACACTGTGACCAGAATGAGCAATCAGGTATGGCACTGGGTTTGAAATTTAGTATATAACCAAGACAGAAAAGCAGTTTTATCTCACTACAAGCAGTAGCACATGCATAAATCTGTACATCAGAATGTAATTATACCTGTGAGTGAACAAAAAATTAAATTATACCAACTTCTCTGACTTGGCAAGACAAATTCATGGCAACAACAAGCTATAATTCTCAACTCTACTTGTCCACAGTTAAACCAGTCAAACCAAAAGAAGCCATCTCTACTTATATGCAGGCAGAACTGGCATTAAAAAAAAAAAACTGGTAAAATTGTTCCAAAAGCAACCAATTCCAAATGGACAGTAAAGTGACTTCCAAGAAGATCAAATGACAAATTCCTTTTATTCTCCCCACCCCACCCCACAGACAATGCAATTAGCTCGTATTCTTGCACCACACTTGGATGCTTCTTTCCTTGACAGAAAAATACTCAGTTACATATTCAGGTTTATGAATTTTATTCCAGAGGAATCTAGGAAACGTAAAAAAACAATACTGAAATACTGCTGCATAAGCCCCCTCACCCGTGTAGCTCAGGGAAACAAAAACTTACACACTTTTGCCCAGAATATTCTTACAATACTAGTTTGTAATATGCCCTTGGGTTCTCAGTTGCTTGCTGAGAAAGCATTGTTGAGGGAGGTACAGGGAAAGTGAAGCACAACCATCATTTCCTGTCTGTGAACGAAACATCTCATTTGAGCCAAAGGGCTTGAGAATTAGGCCTACTTCATTTAAACGAGTGGCATATCAGGATGTCAAACAACATAGCAGATCAACACCTAATTAATGGAGAACACTAAGCATAAGACCAAGTTCTCAAGCAAAAGTTGTTGCAACTTTTTAGTTATAAATACACAATTTATACAAAAGTCTCGTTTAGCTTGCTACCAATACCTTTTATCTTTAAACATTTTAAAGACAGGATGCCCTCACCTGTCAGAGCCCGGGTGAAATTCTGAAAGCAAGGAAGGCCGTCGCCGAAGCTGCTGCTGCTGCTGTTGCTGTTGCAAAAGCTGAGTTGCCTGACTGACTTCCAGATGAGAAGAACGATAATCAGGAACTGCAAACTCCTACTCACAAAAATAATTGTGACACTTCAGCAAGAATGAACATTCAAAGACATCAAAAACTGAGCCAAGAACACTAAAAAGTGCTAAAGGAATCATGGTTTCTGAATTATTCTTAAAAACCTTGCTACAAACCAACAGCTACAGTCTTAAAATGGCAGTTTTTCCATTTACCCAAGTAATAGGTTATTGAAGATTCACTGCAAAAATTGTTCCTACAATAGTTATAGAAATTCAAAGATATTTGGGGCATGCCATCACATCTGACAAGGCACTGCCCAGAGAAAGGGAGGGAAGGGGTCTGTCTGAAGCAGAGGCACAACAGAAGGGAAACAAAATTTGTGTCTCCACTCTGTGTGAAGGTCTGTACTCCAGACATGTCTGGCGGGAAAAAAACAGATTGTATCTATATGTTGGCAGGAAAACACAGGTACTAAATTGCACTACTTTGAGGCTCAGGGCTTGACATACTTTGTCATGGACCAGAGCCAAAAAAGCATTGTTAACCAAAGTCTGACACTGATGTAAGATCAGAGATTACAAGAACTAAAAGCTCTGTACCACCTGAAAGCCTGAGATCCCAGCTTCCAAATGGTACAACATGAGTCCCTGGCACCAGTAGTTCAAGAAATTAGTTGCTAGAAATACATAGGAAACAATTGCAAAGGTGCTAAACTGAGAGTACAATACATGCATTCTCCAGATGCATAAAATTTTTTCCAAATATGATTGAATACAACGAGAAGGAAAAATGTTATCATCTTATACTATAGCGTAATACAGGATGCTCTTCAAACTAGCATCAGCACTGATGGGCATGTGGCATTAAACCGCCCAGTTACCAAACTGCTTCCCTCCTTCTGTAGATCCTCTGACAAAAGGGGACTCCAAAGGCATTAAATAAAAGAAAAAGAAAAAACAAGAAAGAAAAAATATAACCGTGTAATTCACAGAATCATAGAAATAGGGTTGGAAGGGACCTTGTAGCTCTTCAAGTCCAACCCCCTGCCTGGGCAGGAGAAAAACTGGGCTCAGATGACTCCAGCCAGGTAGGCATCAAGCCTCCTCTTAAAGACCCCCAGGGTAGGAGCCAGCACCACCTCCCTTGGAAGTTGGTTCCAGATTCTAGCCGCCCTGACTGTGAAGTAGTTCTTGCAGATGTCTAATCTAACCCTACTCTCCAATCATTTGTGTCCATTATTCCTTGTTATGCCAGGGGGCACTAGGGGAAACAGTGTCTCCCCCAAACCCTTCTGGTCCCCCCTAGTGAGTTTATAGATGGTCACCAGGTCCCCCCTCAGCCTTCTCTTGTGAAGGCTGAACAGGTTCAGGTCCCACAGTCTCTCATTGTAGGGTCTGCCCTGTTGTCCCCGGATCATGTGGGTGACCCTCCTCTGGACCCTCTCCATGTTGTCCACATCCCTCCTGAAGTGGGGCGCACAGAACTGGATGCAGTACTCCAGCTGTGGCCTGACCAGTGTCGCGTAGAGGGGGAGGATCACCTCCCTGGCCCTACTTGAGATGCACCTGTGGATGCAGGACAAGGTCTGGTTAGCCCTGCCAACCGTGACGTTGCATTGTCGGCCCATGTTCATCTCGGAGTCAATAACGACTCCAAGATCCCTTTCTGCCTCCGTGCTCTCAAGAAGGCAGTTTCCCATCTTATAAGTGTGCTGCTGGTTACTACTGCCCAAGTGCAGCACCCTGCACTTGTCAGTATTGAAACGCATCCTGCGTTTGTTAGCCCACCCCTGCAACCTATCCAGGTCTTGCTGCAGTCTTTCCCTCCCTACTAGCGTGCTCACCTCACCCCAGATTTTTGTATCACCAGCAAATCTGAACAGGTTGCATTTCACCCCGTCGTCCAAACTGCTGATAAAGACATTGAACAGCGTGGGCCCGAGGACCGAGCTCTGGGGGACTCCGCTGCCCACTTCTCCCCAGGTTGAACATGATCCGTCCACCACCACCCTCTGAGTATGACCCTTCAGCCAATCTGCAATCCATCTGACTGTGTAGGCATCAATTCTTTACATCTCAGCAAGCCTATACATTTGCTTAAATGTCCAATATGTCACTAGACGTTCCTAACCAGCACAACAGCATGGGATACGCAATAAAACACCCCTCAGAACTGACAGCACATATATGTGCTTTTTTTGTGCCTCAAGACTTCCTACAGTAGCATCTCTAAGACTACATCTACGTGATAAACTTACGGGCCCTAATGGTGATGACCTTGAATGCACTGCACAGGGCAGACTACCTCCTCCTAAACCTGAAACAGTATACACACTGCCTCTGTGCAGCAATAGGGCAGGCTGATGACAGTGTCAATAAGCCCACCGGGGCTCCTTCTGGTCTATGGGACAGTCCACCCAAAGGAACTCAATGTGCTCAAGGACACCACCACTATAGACAGTAGGTTTATCTTACAGATTAAACTTATGCTGTACAGAACAAGATGAGAGAATCCTTGACCCAAAGTTTATAACCTAAGGAGGAAGGGCCTAAAATAGTAAACCAAACAATAACGTATTTATTTTAATTTACAGATTCCAATTCTTTAAGAAAACATGGAAGCAGAACTAATGCTTGACACGCTAAACCACTTGTAACAAGCCATGAAAGAGGACATTAGCCGCAGGATGCATCCTCCTCACCACTGGTAATCTAAAAAGCATAATAGGACGAACCTCAATTATTCTCGAGTTCCTTTGCAGCGCTACAATGGCCAAGGGACCCAAAGCTACCTTAATGCAGCAGCCAAGGGTTTTGCTAAACCAGGGGAATTCTAAGCTGGCAATCCTGCACAGTTTACCTTGCACTGGGGAAGCTCCAGGGCAGAGCAGAAGCTTAACAGTGATGAGTAAGGATAGGATCAAAGGATCCAAGTGAAATCCTTTCAGGTGATCTGTGCCAGCAAATCAAGACAATGAACAGCAGCTTTGGTTATGGCTTACAAGAGTCAAAGCTCTCTTTGATGGCCACCCTGGTCCCTGCCACCCTGACACAATAGGTGGTGAAGATGTACTGTAAACCCATGTTTTCCCCTTGCTCACAAGTGCACTGAAGCCACACTGGGTTCTTCACAGAAGGAGGAGCTGGGCAATGATAAACTCTCTTGCATCCTGTCAAAAGCACAACAGAACACACTCCTGCCATAACATAGGCTGAGTTTTGGTGGTGCTTGTAAGCACTGTTCTGTCAGTATTTGACAATGCACACCATTCAGTGCACTGGCTACATCTGGTCCAATGATCAAACGTTATTAGATGAAAGAACAAACAAAAGAAAAGAATTTGGAATACACAATCCCATGATAAACTCATTCAAGTTAAGATAAAAACCCATTGCCAAGAGAGAACATTTATATTAGTTTTCCCACTGGAGCATGTGTTACTTATTCAAAAGGAAACATACAAATCTTCTTGATTGTCTTCCAAAAAAAGTCAAGCCAGCAAGCCGAAGATACACGCAGTTCCTAAAAATCAAACGTTTTCAGCAAAAAAAACTTTTAAACCCACTATTTATTCAACTAACTTTGGCAGCCACTTTGCTCAGTGGCCAAACATTTCCTCTATCGCTCCAGGCTGATTTACACATATTTATGCTTGAGCTTTACACTTTAAAAATAAAACTAGAGGAAGTGAGACTGAAGAGACTGTCCTATCTTGGAGAGGACTCTTTCATGTAAAATATATTATACTACTATTCCACACTTTCTAAGACAGACAAACTAGATACTGAAACTGATAAGATTCTTCTTTTTTGAAGGGATTTACAGAGATGAAAACAGGAAGTACTGCATAACAGACACCAAAAACATTTTTCTTAGGGTGCTTTAACATTTTTCACAGATTGGGTAGGCAACTATTAATATACCACATGCCACTTTTTATTCAGAGTAGCAATGTTAGCTTTTGCGCCATGGCATAACTGTACATTTCCCCCATTAGTTTTAATTGGGTCCAATACTTAGAAACTGCATTGTTTTTTAAACATCCTTGACCTAGATTAAACTGGTAGAAACACACACCTGACAAATGGAATAACTGAGTTGCTAACACGTAATGGAATAACTAAGTTACACGAATTAATGGTTCACGTAATATCATCTGCTCCTTACCTGCTGATGTCGGGTGCTAGGGAAGGTGTACTGGACAGAGTGCGTAGGGTAACGACTCTGTTCTGTGCTGAATGCTCCTTGGTTAGGAGGATAGCCCGAACTTGACATTATCAGAGAAGAAGTCTTCACACAAAGCTGTGAGATCAAGACCAGCAAGCAATCATGTTTCTAGGAAACGGCCTAAAGAAAAGAAAAAAAGATCACTGATAGGTAATAAAGTACCAGATGTACTCCCAATACATTATAGCCAGTTATCTAAGCAAAAGAACCATTACTAGTAAAAGGTTTTTCCCTATGTTTTATTTAATAGGTTGCTCTAGTTTGAAAAATGTTAGCTTGTCTTAAAATGGGCTCAAAACATAGGTGTCAGCAATGGCTACACACAGCTGGGAGGATTATAATGTGAGAACACATCATTTTACTATTTACCAATGGCATTAGGAGAATTTTACTTTGAAAAAAAAAGTCGCATACATAGACGTTAGAGATGTTGTAACTATAATACGGTCTACAATCAGACACACAATTGCTCATAAATAGCCTTAGGATAAGGTGTAGGAATTCAATTCTGCTTCTTCAAGAACTATTTAAATAGCTAGGAACTGTTCTCCACTTTCTTATTCAAGTGAGTCTTGACACCAACTTCCCTAAGCACAAAAGCATCCTTCTCAAAGACAAAAACCAGAAAAATCCCATGCAACTGGTAGTGTTGCATCTTTACGACGCTATACTGAGCCTTATACCAAGCAAGGAGACTAAGACATGGCTGTCCTAAACCAAATGTCCTAAACTAAAAGTAAGTTTCCAACATTCCTGTTTTGTCCCTTAAGCCAGAGTACTTTGAAACGTACTGAACAATTAAGAATAAGCATGCAGCAAACACAGCCGTCGGTTTCATGCCAGGCCAGTATTGTCAAGCTGGGCCCAGAAGCCCCAACAGTAGAAAACGCGTTTTTATTTCTTTGGCTAGTCTGTTGTTCACTGCAGCACTAGTCAAATCAACTGAAGATGTGCACAAGTGTACGTTTCTGTAAATGAAGTATAATGTACAAGAGTAGATCAACGGCTACAATACAAATATTTAACATAGCAGAAAAAGTTAAATGATGTGTAATTAAACACCCTACACTAATGGACACACATGAGGTCACTTTCAGAGACAGCTTTCAATATTTCTTATCTATATATCCTGACATGCAGATATTTACTAACATATTCAGCTGAATTCAAGGACACTTTCCAGTCAACTTGGCCTGAAGTTTGGGTTTTGGAACTAAAACACTCTAAAACAAATGCAACAACTCTTGTCAAAAACAACACACAAAAAATGAGGACTTTTGTATTTTAACGTATTAAAAAAATAAAATCAGTAGCAGTTTTGGCAACAGGAAGGCTGCACCACTCTTTGCAATACACTAGGTAATGTGACAGCATGAAAGTGAAACTGCCAGTCAAGGAGAACTCAAGAGTCTACTACATTCAGTGCGCCAGCTGAGTGAACAAGTGTGAAAATACAAATAGTGGAGAAGATAGGAATTTTGAAAGCTATCAATAATATTAGTAAGTTAACTAACACATTTTTAACAAGTTATTCTTTGTTTTAAGGCAGGAGAAGAGAAAACTGGAAATGAACAGAAAAGTAGGTGCAAAAAATTTCAGACAGTTTGAGTGTATAATGCTTGAGCAACGATGTGCAGAGATGTGGGGGCGGTGACAGGTGGAATCTGCACCTCTGGGTGAGAGTGGTAGAGATGCAGGGGAAAAAAAAAGAGCAGTGAATATCCTCCTCAGCTCTCTCCAATGCTTTCTAATTAGAATATTGTACCACCAGCAACTAAAACTACTAAAAGCAACTCTGAAAAGCTGTTTTCTTTCCTTGAAGAAATGTAACTCCCCAAAATTAAACAAGCTGCTTATTCGTGAAAATAGCAAAAAATGAAAGAAAGAGAAACTGTCATCGAAAAAAAGGGGAGGGGGATTGGAAACTATCACAAAGGGAATCAAGGTCTCTGGGAGACAGGACACAGGAAAGAAGAAACAAGGATGTAAGCTTTTGGGAAGAGGTTGGGAATGTTAATAAGAGTGATTTCAAGGAGTACAAGGAGCAGAAGCCATACTAAAGGAAGTTTAGGATGGAATTGGATTAGGGTGACATTGGTGAGGAGGTCAGTGTTTAAAAGGGACTGAGCTTGCTAGTAAGAAAAGGGTGGAAACAGGTAAGAGTCTGAATAGAGAAGAACCAAAAGGTATGGAGGTAGAACTAGGGAAGGTATATAAGAATGGGATGGGGGTGGTGGAGGAAAGGGGAAGAGATCAAGACAGGACCAGACTATATGCAGACAAACCAGAGAAAAAGCGGCAACAAAATAAAAACAGTGGCTGTGCACTATGGCAAGAGAAGGTGCAGCTGGTTGGGGTAGGAATATCAAAGGGTTCTACCCATGACGTCTCCCTTTCTTCCAGGAAAAAAAAAAAGACAAGAAACAACATCATGGCCTGTCCCTTCTCTGCCTATCACTCTCTTCACCTTCTCTGCCACTATAACAGACTTTTAATTCTTCCCTTCTCCATCTTTTTCTGTCACTGGACAATATCACCACCATGCTGGCTGTCAGGCCTGTACCTGGATGTCATCTTTGGATCTGTCTTGTCTAGATGGTTACATTCAGTCCAGGCTTCAGCCATGCAGATTCTTTTTGCATAGCATCTCCTGACTGTGTGAATGGTCAGGAAAGCCCATATTCTTTCACCATCATCCAGGTTTTCATCATCTCCCCTCTTGATTAATCAAACAGCTGCTCACTTTGACATACCAATCTCTTTGAATGCCTCTACTGCCTCCCTATTCTACTGCTTCATATGTAGGTTCCTTGTCTCTGCCCTGGAGGCCCTTCATAGTCTATCTTCTCACATGCAGGAATGAGAGGTCAGCACCAACTGCTGAAGAGCCAGTGATGCCCACCAACATCATCTCCTTGCTCAACTTACAGATAAGTGTTTTTATGCTTCCTCTCAGCCTGCCCCTTAGTCTTGGGAGGAGCTGCCCATAAACATCTGTAACATCTCATTATCCTCCTCCAAATCCCTGCACACAAGGCTCCTTTGCTGTGCTTTGTCTAAGAAACATAACAGTCTGGCCACTGGTGGTGACACTAGTGCCAAGTATGATGATCAGAATTGTCTCAGTTTCTCTACACTCCCCATCTGAATATACCCAGATAGTGCCACTTGCCTCAGGTTGTTTTCTCTTTGCAACAGGGACTACTTTTGTTTTGGCAGTGGGGTCTATGGCTAGAGTTCCCGTGGTACTATAAATAAAGGCTGAGAAGATGGCTACAAAGAAAAGGGGTATGTTCTTCAGCCCTGTGCTGCGAGTGATTTAGGCAAGAAAATGATTCTGCAAGGCTCGTTCCAAAATAGACTGCGATACTTCTCCCTGCTTTGACAGCTCAAAATGGCTCATCGGATTTGGTTCAAGCAACCCCAAAATAGTTGATCTTTGTGCTGAAACCTGTCATTCTTGGGTAATTTCTGAGAAAGTTAAGAATGAGAGAAAACAGGATATTATGAGGCTACAAAGTAACTGCTATCAAAGCCTGACCCTGCAAATGTGTATTCTCTTTGAACAATTCTTAATCGTTAGTTCTCAAAATGCTCCAGAGAGAGAATTATGGGTTATCCTCATTTTACACGGGATGAACCAGAGTCACAGGAAGATTAAGTAGCACATCCAAGAGTACCCAGGCAGTCAGTGGCCGAGTCAGGAATAAAGCCTCCTAGATCACATTCCAGCACTCTATTCACTGGACTATCCTGCTTCCCCTGCTTACGTTCACTTCCATGAATAAGGACTATTTATATGAATTTTGGTCCTTAACATGTTTTTGCAACTATGGAAGGAAAGTGCCAGGTGCTGCCTTGTTTCACAGTACCATTCAGGCAGTTCTGAATTAGTCTCCCAACACTTGCTAATCAACCATACATCCTTTAAGGATGTTGGTCGTAGCCATGTTAGTCTAAGGCAGGGGTTTTCAACCTTTTTTAAGAACTGTACCCCTTCTAATGGTGGTGGCTGGATGTGAGCAGGGGGGTGCTTGCACATGGAGCCAGACACGGAGCAGGGGGGTGTTTGCACACCGCTACCCACCGCCCTGCGGGCTGCTGACAGGCGGTGCACGACTGACCAGGTGCAAGGTCTGTCAGCAGGCCGTGGAGCCCCACAGCGGCAGCACGCAATGGTGGGCGGCAGCACACGGCAGTGGGTGGTGGCAGGTGTGTGAAAATGCAAATGCTTGGCCGGGAAGATCCAACGGGATAGGAATTAATAGGCGTGAGACAGGTTGGTGAGGGGAAAATGAACAAAAGAGGGGAATGTCAACAGGTGATAAAATGCAGCTGGGAAAGTACAGGGAGGTTACCTGGGGTTATCAGATAGGGTTATATGCACCATAAATCCAATGTCTACATTTAGTCCATGATTTTTTCTATCTAGTACCTTTATGAAGTGAAGTTCATGGGCTCATCTATGAAAGGTGTTTTGCAAATTCCCTTTGAGGATTAGAACTGAGAGATTAGAGAGACTGTGGTCATTTTGTGAGAAATGTGCACTCACAGGTAACTGGTTATTCTGGTCTTTGATAGATTTTCATTGTGCATTGATTCTGGTATGCAGTTGTTGTTTGGTTTCTCCTACATAGTTTCCATCCCAGAATTCAGTGCACTGGATGAGATATATTACATTTCAGGAGGTGCAGGTGTAAGATCCAGGAATGATGATGACTTTCTTGTGAGCTGTAGTTATTGTGGGAGTGGTGGAGATGTGTTGGCAGGTTTTACATTTCTTGTCCCAGCACAGTCTAGATCCATTTTGTACGAGATCCAACCTGTCTCACACCTATTAACTCCTATCCCCTTGGATCTTCCCTGCCAAGCATTTACATTTTCAGACCTGCATTTTGCATATTGGCTTAAGTTTCTATTCAGATCCTAAGGAGAAGACAAAGACCACCAGGCTGTCTCTATGCCTAAGGAAGGGTGCCTGTGCCCGAAAGCAAAGAAGAACTTTTTTCAATTATTCAGTTGGTCTAATAAAAGATACTACATTTACCCAAAGAACCTTGTCTGCATACATCCTTTGAGTCATTTTCCTTATTTTGTCATGGAGCAAACTGAGGGACAGA